CAAACCCCACCGCATGCTTCTATCATTTGAGGGAAGATCATACTTGCTGAGCAGCTACTGTGTGCCAGCGGGCCAGGTGCCTTAGCCACATCTCATCTAATACTCAACAGACAGGCACCACTGTCATCAAATCTACTTTACAGAAAGGGAAATTGAGGCACAGAAAGGTGGACGTGTCCAATCTGGCTTATGAGAGTCACAATGGGAACACTGCAGGAAGGAGACATCAAAGTCACTGTTCATTAGGGCCTCATCCTATATCCTGCTATTGGCCAATTATACCATGTAACTCCATATCTTCAGGCCTCAGGCTCAGGCCAATTACTCTGCATGGAATGTCAATAGTCCCTTCTTTCTCCCCTTCCACTGTCCTCATAAACCTACCTTCTTTTAAGATCCACCTTAAATATTACCTCTATTGTAATAGCCACTGATGGACCCCATAGAAAATAATCCTCCCCCCTTGGGATTAGAAACTGTAAAGATAAAGGAACAAAGATAGAAGAATTGGGCAGCGCCTGCGGCTTAAAGGAGCAGGGCGCCGGCCCCATATACTCCTTTATATACCCACTCCAGAGGTGGCGGATTCAAACCCACCTGGCCAAAAGCTGCAAAAATAAATAAATAAAATATTTTTTTAAAAAAAGGGCAAAAGAATCCGCTCTTGCTGTGGCTGGTAACTAATCTTGAAAGAACCACAAGGGCAATAAGTTATCTAGAGAAGGGACAGAAGAAAAGATAAACAGGCAACTACAGGCCACAGCCTAGCTGAAAAGCAAATGACCAGGTAATTGGTTTGCAAGTTCTTGGTTTCTCCAAAATACCCTGGGGTGGGGGTGGGGGCAAGAGTTTCTGCACCAAATCCCGGCACAATCCAGTCTCCGAGCCCATATGCACAAAGTAACAGAGCTGAGAGAGCCTGGCCTCCCTGTGAGGAGCCTTCGTCAGCATCCTGCACCGGCCTGCCTAAGGGTTCAACAGGAGTTTACTTGTTGGGCTGGACTCAGGCTTGGCAAAGCAGCAGCCGGATAAATAAGATACAACCAAGGCTGGATTAGGGAAGGCAGAAAGCGAACTCCGGGGAGGCAGATATTTTATAACCAGCTGAAAAGGGGGGATGTTTAGGGAGGCAAACAAAAGTGGCCTATTTCCATAAGCTTCATTTAATTTATATTTAGCCTTCCCATGCTCAGTAATTGAATGCATTATTTATTTTGGCCAGCAGTCACGGAGTGTGGCTTTCAGAACAAAAATAATAGGCTTTTAGATTTAGTACCACAGCATTTAGAGATTTGAGTAAAAATCATCAGCTAAATTATTCAACATGCAGTGAATGCCACATTCCTGCTCTCTGTCAGTAGCTTAAAGTATCTGGGGTGGGTGGCAGGTGAGGAGCTCGAAGTTTCAACACTGGGGTGCCATCCGCATCTGTGCACAGTGTGAGGCTGTTTTCACACTGCCCATGACGAAGACCCAAGGACACATACAGGGAGGGCAGTACAACAGGGAGAAAATCATTCACTGCTCTCCTTGACCAGTTCTTGGGAGCACCAAATATTTGATGATAGGTAAGCCTTTATTTAGCTTTCTGTTTTCCTGTTTTTGAGACAGAGCCTCAAGCTGTTCCCCTGGGTAGAGTGCTGTGGCATCACAGCTCATAGCAACCTCCAACTCCTGGGTTCAAGTGAGTCTCCTGCCTCAGCCTCTCAAGTAGCTGGGACCACAGGCGCTCGCCACAACGCCGGGATTCGAATTTGCCACCTTAGTTGTATGTGGCTGGCACCTTAGCCACTCAAGCCTGTTTTCCTTTTTTTTTAAAATAGCATGAAGCCTTTTTTGGGGGTCTAGTCATAAATTTTCTAAGATTTATAAGATTCAAAATAATGGTCCTGATTTTATAAAGGGAGAAGAAGACAGACCTAGACTTCCTTTACTTGCAGTATGTAACTCTGATATCTGGAGTCCACAGTCCATTCCTAACACCACGGGTGAAATTAAACTCAGGTGTTCTCACCTGGGTCTACTATTCCTGTGCTTTCTCAGAGACAACCAGTTCAGAAGACTTACAATTTCTAACATCTAAGGAAGCATTTTCTAATTTTCATTTTGCATGTCATCTGATTTTTGGTGCTATTCATTTTTTAAAATTCTGTTTGTTGCTAACCCATCACCCTTACCACAGCATGAACAAAGAGAAAGTTCCATGTTGACCAAGCACACAATAAGGACTGGTGCCTGTCCTAGTGGGAAGAAGGGGTGTCCCAGACCCTAAACGAGTAAACAAACACACAATAAGAAATGTCAGGTCATGGGCCAGGCGTGGTGGCTCACACCTGTAACCCTAGCACTCTAGGAGGCCAAGGTGGGTGGACTGCTTGAGCTCACAAGTTTGAGACCAGTCTGAGTAAAAGCAAGACCCTGCTCTAAAAACAGCCAGTCGATGTGGCAGGTACCTGTAGTTCTGCTACTTGGGAGGCTGAGGCAAGAGAATCACTCAAGCACAAGACTTTGAGGTTGCAGTGAGCTATGATAATGCCACAGCATTCTACCAATGGTGACAAAGTGAGAACAAACAAAACAAACAAAGAAACAAAAAAAGAAATGTCAGGGTATGGAATGTGCAGTGATGAGATTGAGGATGACGGGGCACAGAGTACTGTAGACTGGGGAGAGTGATTAGGAGAGGTTTCCCTGAAGAGCTGCAGCTTGCTTCTCACCACCTGCCTTATAATAAAAACTTTTTAAAATGCAAATATCTGGGGAAAGATCATTCTAGAAAGAGGGAACAACAAACACAAAGGTTCTGAACTGGAACACAGCTCAGTATGTTCAAAGAACAAAAAAAGGCCTACGTGGCTAACCCACGTGGGAGGAGAGGATGGAAGGCAGGCAGTACCAGATCACAGGCAGACTCAGAGGCCAAGTGTGTGGCTGCATGGGGAAGCTACTGCAGTCCCCTAGGAGATGAAAGCAAAATCAAGCAGAACTTAAAAACATTCTCAGACAGCAACTATGTATGAAGATGTCACTGCCCAGAGCTGAATCAGCTGAATCAAGATTCAGATGAACCCCAGAACCACCATGCCAGTGGTTAAAAGAATGGAGGGGCTGGGCACACTGACTCGCCCCTGTAATCCTAGCACCCTGGGAGGCCAAGGCAGGTGGATTCTTTGAGCTCAGGAGTTCAAGATCAGATGAGCAAGAGTGAGACTCCATCTCTACTAAAAATTAGCAGGGCATCATGATGGGCGTCTATAGTCCCATCTACTCAGGAGGGTGAGGCAAGAACATTGCTTAAGCCTAGTAGTTTGAGGTTGCTATGGGCTATAATGATGCAATGGCATTCTACTGAGGGTAACAAAGACTACGTCTCAAAAAAAAAAAAAAGAAAGAAAGAAAGAAAAAGAAAAGCATGGAGCAATGACCACTCTCCTATCCAAGCCAGCAGCAGCTAGATGTGAGAGGTTATCCATGGCAAAATCCAGTGGTTCTCAACCTTCCTAAGGCCACGACCCTTTAATACAGTTCCTTATGTTGTGATGACCCCCACCCATAAAATTATTTTTGTTGCTACTTCATAACTGTAATTTTGCTATTGTTATAAATTGTAATTTAAATATCTGATATGCAGGACGGTCTTAGGTGACCCTTAGGTAAAAGGGTGACCCTTAGGTGACCCTCAGGTGAAAGGGTGGTTTGACCCCCAAAGAGGTCAAGACCCAAAGGTTGAGAACCACTGGATAATCCATGAGTTTGGGGGAGAACCATCCCTGAAAATATCAGTCAACCTCCTACAGTGTTTCAAAGTTCCCTAGTATTCATTTAAACCTCCCAATCTCATGGTAAAGGGCTCAGCCTTGAGTCCCACAGATTGGGGACTGAGAGCTGGCTCGGTGACTCAGGACCCACCTGGGCAAGCCACTTGGTCACTCCCTGCCTCAGTTTTCTAACCTGGGCAATGAGGCACCAACCATAGGAACAGCCTCATGTGGCTATTAGAGGAGGATAAAGTGAGATCAGGTATGGACAGGGCTTGTCACATAACAAATGCTCCATAAATGTCACACCAAGATCTCTTTCACCCTCTGTGTTACAGCCTGTGGGTAGATGCTTTGCTGGTGACCTGACTGCAAGTCCTTTGCATATACTGTCCCAGGAGAGGACCAGGGTGTCCTGAAGCAAACACCTAGGAATCTCCACCTGAAAACGTTCTCTTGGCTCAGATGCAAAGTAGGCCAGAGTGCCAGGGAGTTCATGTCCCAGGAGCAACGTTCAGCTGATGACAGATGGGAGCAGAGGGTAAACAGCTTGTCTTCTTTGCCTCTCAGGTAGAGTAAAGCTGAATGTGTTTCATACCATTTACCTGATGGGAATGAGCCTCAGCTGCCCAAAGCATCCCCCTGCTCGCGAGTACCACTCTGTTCCCTCCCTTCCCTTCCCCAACTTGCCTCCGCATCACCTCTCTGAAACTCGCCTCCTCCCAAATAAACTATCCCTTGCACCCTCATGGACGGTTCCTGTGGCTAGTACAGAAAGATCAGTCTTGGGCAGGATTTTTACCCCAAACTGCAAGATATAGGGTATTCATTTACACAGATTAGATTCTCTGGGGGTGTCTCTGGGGTTTCAAACACAGAAACAAACATCACCACTACCACAACAAATAAAGAGGATGGCAGTCCGAACCCCTCAAATTCTCCAGGCATGTTTAGCTCAGGATGTCTGAGCTGCTTGGCCTTTTCTGCCTGAGATGGATTCAACAAAGTACTTACAGTGTCTGTGCTCTATCATCTGTCTGACTCTACAAACATATGTGTGTCTGATATGCTTCCTACTAGAGAAACAGATTTAAAACTCATCATTTATTGATCTTTTTTTCTTTCCTCCCTAAAGGAATCTCTCTCTTTTCACACACATGCATGCGCGCACAGACACACACACATACTTCTGAGTCAGCTTTCCAAAACAGCAATGCAGAGCTGACAGAATGAAGGGCTTACCTTGGGAGAGACACTGGTTGGCCAGTGCCACCTGACCGGAATGCAGGTAGAGATTGAGACGAGAGAAGATCCCCGCCAGGGAGGGGATGGTGATGAAGCAGTAGGCAACACAGGCCTGGAAAGAAAGGGCGAAGCATGGCAGGTACATCAGCAACACCATCCCGATAAATCAATACTCCTCTCACCCACCACCCATTTCCACATAAAAACACTTAAATCAATGACTCCCATTGTCTCTCTGTACCATCTGATGACTCTTTGAAAGGATGGAGAGGGAGACCTGAGGGGAATGATAGTATATAAAAAGTAAACCCTCGTCCATCCTTGCAGGAAGTAAATAAGTTAACACCTAATGTCAATAAACCAAGAAGCAACCGTTTAAACCCATTACATAAAAAATATGGAAGCAACCAGAGAAGCTGCTTGAAAGGGTTTGGGGTGCGGACCCTGAGGCACAAGGCACCAGGTAAGGAAAGGCAGGGCCAGGGTACTTATTTCTCACTGTAATCTTTTCAGCATAATTTCATTTTTAAAACGTGGACATGTACTGCTTTGTTAACATTTTGAGCAGCATCAAATTCGATAACATTTTGAACTTCAAGAAGCTGAAAAATTTTTTTAAAGTTGAGCATCACTCTCATTCATAGGAAAAACAGGCCTTCCAGTTACGGGCACGATATTATTATACAAATTACTATATCAAAAAATATTTTATAATAGCATAAAAATATAGTAACATTATACTGTTATTTTATTAGAGCAAATTAGAGGCTGGTACATAAATGCAAAACCACCTCTCATCCACCTCCTTAGAACACATTCAAATTCAGACTTTTTACATCTTTCTTTTGAAAACATTAAGGTAATGGATGATCCTATATACTCAAGGAAAAATTAATCCCCCAAATTGATACTTAACCACTCTTATCACGACACACTTGTCTTTATCTGGGAAGAGTCATTTAGTAACCTGCAAAGTAAACAACCCACCGGAGTTCCAAGTCTGAGAGTTCTTATCTTAGAACATACCCGGACGAAGGCAGCTGTCTTTCTGGAATGATTTCCTTTCATCACTTTTCTCGTTTCCATTGCCAACCGGTTCACACTCTGAATTTGTTAATAAATACAACAGTTACAGTAGTGAAATGATGGCTAACTCAGACGAACATCTTCCATAGAGACTTGAACATTAACTACATACAGGCCAATGAGAACAAGCTAATTGGGATCAAGACTAGTTAGCACTGAACCCCGAAATGCCAGAAGGGTCACCAGGCCTGATTCAATCTTGACTTGAGCAAACATCTCCAAGAGGGTAGAAAAAAGGCATTCACTCACTTAGTCATGCCTATCGATCAGCAGTATAAATCATCATTTTCTGGTTTAATGAATAGCTCAGTTCACTTACTCCCATTCCAGAATGCCCCACACACTGAGCTTAAAGATTGTAAAGATCTTGAGAAACCTCCAAATCTGAGAGCAGACCACACAATTCAGCTATGCGATACTCACAAGAAGAACAGTAAAGACAGAAATCACATCATCACCTACAGTGTCCCAGACGCTATTCTAAGAGCTAAACGTTCACTAGTTCACCTAATCCTCATGATCCTACAGGGTAGATACTATAACCTCCCTGGTCTCTACATTTAGGTCTTAAGCTTAAGCTTAAGACCTTAACTTGGGCTAAGTAACCTGCCAACCAGCAAACAAATACATACAAAGATTTTCTCCTTGAATAGCTCTTTTCTCCTTAAAGTTGTTCAAGAGCCTTAAGGGAACACTTCCACAGTTACAAAAAATTAGACCTAAGGTTCCCAGACTGTGCAACATGGTACCCAGGGTACCACGCTAAACAATTTTTTTAGGCAAACCAGCACTATTTGGTGTTGAACACACTGTGCAGAGAGCCAGTGTGAGGTGCTCACAAATATGACTTTGGGCAACATTAAATTCCTTCCAACCATGTCATATTCTTTTGAAATGGTTTCCGTGGCTACTGTGATAAAAACCAAGTACTGTGTAAAAATCAACATGAAAGAGGAAATAAGGGTAGGTGGCCAACCTGGGTGTAAGTTTTAAGAAGTTGTGAAATGCCTGGTAGGTACACATATCTCGTTAGTAATTACAATCATTTAAGCATGAAATAAAAATATTATTTTTTATTATTTTATGCATAGTATTTTTTCAAATGGCTATCAAGTTGTTAGGGCATAAATACTTAAGTTGTCTAACCTAACATCTTTTTTTTTTTTTTCCTGAGACAGGTCTTACCATGTCGGCCCTTGGTAGAGTGCCAGGGCATCACAGCTCACAGTAACCTCAAACTCTTAGCCTTAAGTGATTCTCTTGCCTCAGCCTCCCAAGTAGCTGGGACTACAGATGCCTGCCACAGTGCCCAGCTATTTTTTTGTTGTTGTAGTTGTCACTGTTGTTTAGCAGGCCCAGGCTGGGTTTGAACCTGCCAGCCCTGGTGTATATGGCTGGCACTCTAACCTGGCGCCAAGCCCAGAGTCTCACCTTCTGACCCTCAGCAGAGTGCCATGGCTCACAGCAACCTCAAATTTTTGGACTCACAAGTGATTCTCTCGCCTTAGCCTCCCAAGCAGATGGGATTACAGGCACCTGCCACAAAGCCTGGCTATTTTTAGAGACTGGGTCTTGCTCTAGCTCAGGGTGGTCTCAACCTCTGAGCTCAAGCAATGCACTTAAGTTGGCCTCCCAGATTTCAACCTAACATCTTAATAAACAGAATTGTTATTAAACCTTTTGGCTGGGGGATGAAAAGTTACAGAAGATGCCATGATCTCAGAAAGCTGGGCACCTCTGGACAGGCAGCAGGAAGTACTGGCCAGTACTTCTATCACTGATAAGTGCAAATCACTTAACTCTTTGCTGTTGGCACACAGAAATGAGAAAATGCAAGTTATAGGAAAAAAGAGGCCCACAAAACTATCCAAAGATTTAAGCAAAGTTGTAGATTTACTACAAAGATTTACTCAAAGATTTACTAACCTTTGGAACCCACCTTTCATACACTAGAGAACAGTCACAATAGAGGCTAGAAGAATCCTAGATTAAGATTGGGATGTAGATGATCGATAAACATTTATTGAGAGAACAAACTAAGGAATGAAAATCCTTACGTGAATCAACTGCACAAGAACAGGTTCCAGATTGCAAAACATTGACCTGGACTCCACGTAAAAACTCAGCTGTTGTTCAAAATCACGGCCAAAGGAAACCTACAATCGAGGAGAAAGATGGTGATCGGGCCAATATTATTTTCAAAGAAAAGACAAGCAAAAAAGAAAAAAAAAAAAACCCATGCACACACAGTATAACTGAAGTAGTATTATGACTATTTCATCTTTATGACATGGGCATTGAACTAGAACATAAAAAGTCAAAGGCTATAAAACAGAAGCTCAAAGTGTAAATTTTCCAGGCTTAGAAAGAAATCACTGGAAAGAGAATAATGGAATTTTGTTTGTCAGCTGCGGCCTTTTCACAGAACATAAATTTGGTTGTTGGTGCTCCATTTGTCAGGAGGCTTTCCCTAAAAACAGCCACAACTTTCTGCTTCCTGATGGGGATCCAACCTCAGCAGCTTACTGGTGGCTGCTGTAAACACAGATGGAAAATCTTCCATCTTTAAAAATCCCTTCTTTTCCTTTTTCTTCAGATTTATGAACACCTGGATAGTAGGAAAAACTTTGCTACATCAATCATTTTTGTCTAGAGGTTTGACATTGCTATTTCCATTATAGCTATCAGGTTTGGGGGTTTTTTTGTAGAAAAAGAATCTTACTTTATTGTCCCTGGTAGAGTGCCATGGCATCCCATAGCTCACATCAACCTCCAACTCCTGGGCTTAGGTGATTCTCTTGCCTCAGCCTCCCAAGTAGCTGGGACTACAGGCACTTGCCACAATACCTCTGCTATTTTTTTTTACTGCAGTTTGGCAAAGGCTGGGTTTAAACCTGCCACCCTCAATATATGGGGCCAGCACCCTACCCACTGAGCCACAGGCGCCACTCAGCTATCAGGTTTCACATCTTATTTCCTCATATTCTTTATAACTCAGTAACTTTGGGGCAAAACTATAAAAAGATAAATACCTCATGATCAGTATATAAACCAAAAGTAAAGTAGGGTCACCCGGGAAAATCCATATGTTTCTTAATGTGGGAGTTGAAGAGCTACTTCTGAATTTTCATCAAAACTGACTGATACTTTATCTATGGTCAGGCAGACAGTTAAATCAACCCCTACTGTTGAACAAATCATAATTTCAAGGTTATTTACAAAGTGACCTCATCATTTTCATCTTGATCAGCGCTGGTTTTGACCTTTCTGTTAAAACAGAAGATGCAGGCTGCAGTTGGTGTTTTAGCTTTGGGGCAAAGATTGTTCAGGCTAAGATGGTATAATGATGAAATGTTTCCAAAGAAGGCTGCAATAATCCGTTCCACTCTGCTGTCCTTTTACAACATCCCTTTGGACTCTCCCCATCAAGGGGTGGAGTCTCTCCACTTTCCCTGCATGGAGGGGGAGATGCCCTGTGACCTGCTGTGACCAACAAAATGCCATAGAACGTAGCAGAGGTTCATTCTGTGATTTGTAAACCTCAGTCTTAAAAGCCTGGGCAGCTCCATTTGTGGCAGCACCATGTAAGCGGGCTCAACTAAGAACACTGACTGAAAAGAGAACGCTAGAGAGAGGAAAAGAGGCCACATGGAAGAAAACTGAGATGCCTCAGCCTACAAGAAGTGCCAGGGCCCCGGACACGTCAGCGAGGCCACACTGGATCCTCCAGTGTGATCTTCCACACCAGAAGACACGACACAGGTCATTCCGGTTACACAGCCAATCCAAAGAATTGCAGAAACTAATAAAACACTCTTATTTAAAGCCACTACGTTAGGGGGCGAGTTGTTATGCAGCAGTAGTTAAGCAAGATGGATGGGATTGGGGAGAGGGACAGGGGATATATGGTATTCTGTCCACCCAGCATGGTTTCTGCCATCATCTGATGATCAGCACATCAGCTGCTGCAGGGGCCTCTTCTCTCTACTCTTGGTCCTGGTGATTTGGGTCACCCAGATGTGGAAATGACCCTCAGGCCTAGCCAATAGGTGTGTTCGGGCTCAAAACCCAAGTAAATCCAAAGAGACTCCATCCTAGGACTTTTGCTGGAGCCCCTCATGCCGGGCTGCAGAGCTGGGGGCAAAGGAAACCGGGGGCTATCATGGGGACCGAGCCCACCTCAGCAGGACGCCCACAGGGCAGAGCGCTGAGCCAAAGAGGAACATGGACAGCAGGTGCCGAGGCATCACGGAGGTCCTGAAGCCAGCTGCGCCTTTGGAGAATTTCACCTCTGTCACGTATGCCAAGAAATGTCCCTCCCTCACGTAATGGCCTCCCCCTTAAGCCAGTTTGTGTTGGCTCTCTTTGCTCCCAGGAGAGTCCTGGCTAATGTAAGATGTTTTCTCATTTCATCTTATCTCAATAAGAATGAAAAGCACCATGGAACATAATGTTAACTGCTTTCACCAGCATAAGGATAAACAATTACATCACATTTCCAAGTGCTCTAAAACTTCTTTCCTAATACTTACCATTTTTATAAATCCATTTATCAGATATGCCAGCATTCTTTTCTCATCTTCAAGAGTGAGTGCACTAAGATCAATAATAGTACATAATTAACACTGAGGCAATAAAGGAAAGATCTAAAAATAAAAAACAGAAGAAGTTAAAAAACTTCAAAGGTAAGAACATCTTGCATTTTTCTACATTTATAAAACATAAAAATATGTAACCAAAATTGACATAATTTACATGTATTTCTCACCTCCCTCAAAGATGCTATTCTCAAGATATAATTATTAATAGGAAAATAAAAAGTAAATTTTCTCTTCCTTGGAATTGGGGAGCAAGGTCTAATTCCACTTTTCAGAAAAATTTTGTTCAACAAATTACAAAAAATTTCCAACATACAGCAAAGTTGAAAGAACTTTCCAGTAAACATCCATACACCCATCATCAAGATCCTACCCTCAACATTTTACAAAACTTGCTTTATCACATAATTATCCATTCCCCTGGCCATCCAACAACCCATCTTATTTTTTAGATGTATCTTAAAGTAAATCACAGATCTCAGTTGCTGTGGTTTAATAGGAAACTCACGCAAGTACAAAAGAAAATGTTGAGTCCTTATAGTTTTGATCATGTATGTGAAGGCCTATACACAGTAGAACTTCTGTAAGTTGACCACCCAAGGGATTGGAACAAACTGGTCAACATATGGAGGTGGTCGACATTAGCAACTAGGCCTACTGCACTGATATGGTACATGTGGTCCAGGAAATTACATCAACTTAAGGAGGTGGTAAATGTAGAGAAGGTGTCAACTATGAAGGTTCTACTGTAGTTCCTCAAATTTATTCTCAAAAAAATTTTAAGAGCCCAGAGAAAACAGGAATCAAGCTTTTTGTTGGTTTGTTCTAAGGGAAAATAAGTTTTGGCAAAGATTTCTCACTGTACTTCAACATTCAATGACCCCTTAGTTCTTTGTTTTGAGACAGTGTTTCACTATGTCGCCCTCAGTAGGGTGCCATGGCGTCACAGCTCACAGCAACCTCAAACTCTTGGGCTTAAGCAATTCTCTTGCCTCAGCCTCCCAAATAGCTAGGACTACAGGCATCTGCCACAATGCCTAGGTATTTTTTTTGTTGTAGTTGTCATTGTTGTTTAGCAGGCCCAGGCAGGGTTGGAATCTGAGCTATGAGCGCCAAGGCAACCCCTTAGTTCTTAAGAGACAGCATTCTCAGCCTCTGTCCTAGTTAGGCATAGCTATAGGACAGTTCTGAACAATGGAATATGAAAACAGCGATATCAGAGTCTTCCAAGTGTTGTCCCTAAAAGAAAGCTGGTATCCTCCAATGCCTATAGGCTAGAACCTAGACACGGTTAAAGTAGGTCAGCTCCCAGCAGGAAGACAAGAGCAACATCCCAACCGGAGAGCAGAGCAACAGGATAGAAGGAACCCGGGTCCCTGGATGATGTCTGAAGAGTTACCCTACCCCACCTCTGGTCTCTCTACTCACTCATACTTTGAAGAAGACAGAACTAAACCTTCTATTTCACTTAAGCCCCAAACCCAATGTCCTATGAACATAAGTGCCTTTCTGAATGTTTCTGTGTCTTTATTTCTATTTTTGTCCAACTAACACCTACAGGTTCCATTTACCATAAAAAGTCTCGATACTTTGATTTTTATAACTACCCATGAATGTGAAAGCACAAAAAGTCATGGAAATAAAGATTCTAAAATTAAGGGGGGGGGGGAAATACATTTCATCTTGGTTTTTTTTTTTTTTGAGACAGTATTACTTTGTCAACCTTAGTAAACTGCTGTAGTGTCACAGCTCACAGCAATCTCAAACTCTTAGGCTTAAATGATTCTCTTGCCTCAGCCTCCCAAGTGGCTGGGACTATAGGCATCTACCATAACACCTGGCTTTTTTTTAAGAGATGGTGACTTGCTCAGGCTGGTCTTGAATTCCTGAACTCAGGCAATCCACCTGCCTCGGCCTCCCTGAGTGCCAGGATTACAGGTGTGAGACACCACGCCTCACCTATAATTCCTCTTGTTGATGGTTAAATTCTAAAATAATTTTCTCCATTCTTGTAATATTTTCCAATAAATCAAGCTGCTGTGTTTAAAATTTCTTTGGGGACTAAAATTTCAGCCACAAATAAGCAAGAATTGCCTCAAGCATAGTTATAGTTTCAAATGAAAACACGTTTAAAAAACAAAAATTAGAAAGCAAAGGAAGCATAATTCAGCCTTTGAAAGGAAAGTAAGGCCTGCGGACAGGTCTGAGCCTCAAGTATGCTGAGCAAAGTTCTTTGCGTAAGAAATGCAAGCAATTTCATTTGCATTTCAAATAACTGGCTAATAATTAGATAAAATTAAAAGGCTATGTTACTGGATGAGTGAACTCATTATTACACTATCTGCTATTCTCAGAAATCTCCAGGAAACATAGAGTTTGAGTTCACTTGAATGAAACCAGGCTTTCTCTCCCCAATAGAAATTCCATTGTAAAAACATCTGCCATGTCATTTTCTCAAGAAGGTTACCCTCAGCCTCCCTCCTACGCTGGACTGGAAGGAATGTCCTCATTAGCAGGAATCTTAATAGACCCAATAAAGTGATATTATTCACAGTGGCAGCTTAGAGCAATCATTCCCTAACATACTATCAGATGGTATTAAACCCCAATCCATGTTACATTTCAGCCTTAAGCAAAGCTTACTTTACAGAGTCATGCATGGTCTTGCAAACATGCAAAAGGGCATTCAAAATGACGGGATCCTTGGTGGGCTCCTGCTGATGCCTAAGAAGACATTTAAAGATAATGGTCAAAGCTCTGTCCATTGACAACAATGCAAGCATGGATTTAGTTCTCATCCACTGTACACATTTCAGAAGCAGCAAATTATCCAGCTGGCATTTTACCCAGCCTAGTTCACCAGCAATGGGTAATGTTCTGGGTTTCTCGTAATTCTTTAAATAACCAGTTTGCTCTTCTACATGCACTGTGACTTCTAATTGCAAAATCATTGTAAAACTGTCCCCTTTCTTAAGTCAGGCAAAGGGCAAACCTGTTTTCTTATTATTTTTTGAACTATCTGAAGCTATCTATAGCCTGTCTGTAACTGAGGTAAGTGCCAGGCAAAATTATTAATTTGGCTTTCCAAATAATGTGAAATGACAAATTCTTTTAATTTATTTATTTGCTTACTTGTTTTAAATAATGTTCTTTTGCAGCAGGGATAAACTCTTATAACAAATCTTTATATAGGTAAAGTAGGTGTATTTGTTCTAAGCATATTAATTATGAATTGAAGATATTGATCTTCAGCAAGGCATTAATCTTTTAGAAAGATGACAAGAAAAGCTTGAAACATTTTAGCAATACTTAACTCAATTTTCCAAACTGAACCATATCTATATACTTCATATTTAAAACAACGGTAGCTTTCTTTTTCTACTTAACCTTGTCCTAAAAAAAAATGCCATACATGAAATCACATTAAATAGTTATGTATTATCTAACAAATTTAAAATCAATAAATAACTTTAAAAATCTTTTCTCCAAATACTCCCTTAAAATTATTTCATAGACACTAGCAGTAGGGAAGTTTTGGGAAACACAGACTTAGTAAAACAGAATAAAAGGGAATAAATTTGAAAACTGATCACAAATTAGTCAACTGAAAATGGAAACCTTTCTAGTACTAGTGCTTTCATAAGTATGCCCTTATTTTTATCCTTTAAAATGTTACTCTGGAGGCAGTTCATCAAAAGACTGCTCCTTCCAAAAACATACCAGAGAAAAAAATAGCTGTTGGCCAGGCTCATACTATCACTTGCTAGTTTGTCTGCTTAGGCACTAAGTACAAACTTCTCTCATGACTGCTACTTCTAATATGGTTTTCCTTCCACTGGTGGCTTCCGTATGAAATATGTACATGTCACTAAGCCTCAAAGTGCATGAATTGATTTCTTCTCAGCAAGTTTCACAAAGGCATTGAGAATCAAGGCTTCTGATTACACCAAGTTGCACTCACTTGATAAAGGCTTCCATGATGCATTTGCAAACCTCCACCCGCACACTCTCTTTTTGAAACATGTCCAGAAATGGCAGAAATTTTTCCTAAAAATAAAGAAAGCACTCTACATGCAATGGCATAAGTTACGGGAAGGAAGGAATCTGTGGGTCACTTTTTCTTTAGAAGTCAAGAAAAGGAGAAGAGACGTTCACCTGTCTGAGGCAGGTCAGACAGAGACTCCCCTGAAAGCAGGGAGAAGACCCGATTGGGGGGTTTTAAAACTATTATTATTAAAACAACTTCTACATGTATCCAAGGGATTGGTGCCAAAACCAGTTAATATTTTGGCAAACCATCTGGGCAACCTGTGGGTGACCATAAGCTTTTCTAAGTAGCAAAATGCAAGGCAGACTTGAGTCTTTATGTGATTGTATTAATGAGCAGAGACAGGAGAGCCAGGGCAGAGCTGGTCAAACAGTGGCCTTGAGACCTGACTGCCTGGCTCTGACATCTGACTGCGCTGTCAGTGACTGTGAGACCCTGTGCAAGTTACTCTACCTCTTCCAGTATCAGTTTTCTCACCTGTAAAGTGGGAGTACAGCAGTTTCCCCATATTCACAGTTTTGCTTTTGTGTTACCCCAATCAACTGTCATCCAGAAATATTAAATCGAAAATTCCAGGTATTGCAGTGCTTATGTTTAAGTAACCCATATTTTACTCAATAGGAGCTGCAAAGCTCCTCAGTAATCATGCTGGCATATTATTTTATTAATAAGTGTTCTATTTTATTATCAGTTATTGTTGTCAATCTCTTACTGTGCCCAACTTATAAATTAAGCTTTATCATAGGTATGCATGTATAGGAAAAAACAGAGTATCTGTAGGGTTTGGTACTATCCATGGTTTCAGGCTTCTGTTCCTTGAACATATCCCCTATGGACAAAAAGACACTACTGAAAACAACAACCCTACTTGACACTGGTGGTGTGAAAATGACATGAAGCAATGCATGTGAAGTGCCAGATGGTGCTTGGAGTGTGTACATGTCCAATAAAATGAGCTTCTATTATGAAACACAAAACCCTTACAATCCTGTGAGCACACATAAATGGGTCCTAGAGGAGAGACGCTAACAGAGAATGCTACTATATGGAGAACAGCTAGATTCCTACTCGCCCAGGGCACTGCAGCAAACTCAAAGAGATGCCACAAGATATTGTAAGTTGTTAAGGGAGTCACAGTAAATCTCAACTCTGTCAGATACTAAAACAACTACTAGCTCGATGTATTTCACAATTTCAACAAAAATTATGTCATAAAAAGCAAGTACCCAGTGAAAATCAACATGGAAGAAGAAATGAGGATTCCCAAGGTTTGAGAAACTGTATAATAACCAACAGATGCACACATCCCATTAGTAAGAAATGAATGAAAAAGAATAGCATTTTTCTTTCAGTTTATGTGTATTTATTTCAAATGCTGCTTACGTTACTGAGACATAAATACTTAAGATGCTTAGACCTAACTACTTCATAGAAGGAACTGCTGAGTACTCCTCTAGGCCTGGGGTATCATGAGAACCTGTCACCTTTGACAATTAAGAAATGCTACTTACCACTGAGAAAAGAACTGAGAAGTCATGGAAGTGGGCAATAACTTTCTTAATTATTAACTGAAGCTGTAAAACAAAAACACAGGTTATTTAATAAAACTTGGATTTTTAAAAAAAGGTAGTTGTCTTTCATGATTTGCAATTATAGTTTATAATAAGATAAGCCTGCGCTGGGTGCAATGGCTCACGCTTGTAATCCTAGCACTCTGGGGGGCTAAGGTGGGTAGATTGCTTGAGCTCACAAGTTTGAGACCAGCCTGAGCAACAGCAAGATCCTGTCTCTACTAAAAATAGAGAAACTGAGGCAAGAGGATCACTTGAGCCTGAGTTGAAGGTTGCTGTGAGCTATGACGCCACAGCACTCTACCGAGGGTGACAACTTGAGACTCTGTCTCAAAAAAACAAAAGTAAGCCTGACTTGTTCAAGGAATGGGGAATTGGGGTTAGGTTAGGCCCTGTCTCAGTCTGAGTTTGCCCATTTACTCCAGCATCCTACTATGTAGTCTTGGGGAAGGAACAGTGCCTCAGTCTTACCTTCTTCATCTATAAAATAAAGATTGAAGCAATACCTATGAGACTTCAATGGGATGGTTCACACACAGTGCTAACTGGGGTGCCTGCCCTTAGAAAATTCTCCATTAACTATTCAGCTATTGTTGTTATTAGATGAGTGGGCAAACTTTTCCTATATAGGGCATACAATCCGTCACAACTACTCAATTCCAACATGTACATGAATAGGTATGGCTATGCGCCAATAAAACTTTATTCCCAAAAGCAGGTGGCCGGCTACAGATGGCCTCTGGGCCACAGTTTGTCAGTCTTTATTCTAACCCCTTGTGACTCTATGTCACAATGAGTAGTTTCTTGACTACTTCAGTGGAGATTTGAACAGTTTGCTGGCTGGATCAAAGATCACTGCATTTCCTGAGGACAGTGGCACAATCTGTGATGTCTGTCTCACAAATGCCCAGGTACTGATGTTCATCACTTCTCATCCTGAGATGCACAGTGCTTACGAAACGGACAGGGCTTTGGTCCAGGAGGAGCAAGGAGGTACTACTTCTAAAAAAAAATATATATATATATATATATACAACTCCCTGCCTCTGGTTGCTGGCAAGAAAATTTACTGACACTTTGTTTATATTAAAAAATGGCTGTTCAAATCATTTCCAAAGCAAATCTCTCATGTTCTAGTAACAAAGAGTATGAAGATGTATAAGCCCATTTCATAAGTAGGCAGCTGAATAGGTGAGTTAAGCAACAGACTAATAAAGGACTTCAAAACCTCATGATGAACAATGCTGCAGGGGGAGCATTGTAAGATACCGCCATCCTGTCTGAACACAAGCAACTAATCCCTTTAAAACAAGAAATTATTTTAATGTTTAAGCACAGTTACACATAAACTATATTTTTTCAATATAAAAATGCTCAGGGTGGTGCCTGTGGCTCAAAAGGGTAGGGCACTGGTCCTATATGCCAGAGGTAGTGGGTTCAAACCCAGCCCCAGCCATAAACTGCAAAAAAAA